CCCCAAAACCCCAAAACCCCAAAACCCCTGGGTTGTTCAACATTTTTGATATAACTTTTTCTTAAAGTAAAATGGATCCCTTTGGTGCCCTTAACAACTCAAATCTTCAACCAGTAAGTTTCTTGCAAGGCTAGAATCCAGAGACCAAGGCCGGAAGGGAAGCCATGTGTGGGGTCTTTGGAATTTGTTCTTTAAGATCTTGGGGTTTTAGATTTTGTTTCGTTTCAAAATTTTAATAGCTTCATTGTTGTTCTATAGACATACCTTCAAAGCCATGAAATTGAAAACAAGAGTCCAGGTCATTGAGACAGCTGAGTACTAGCTCTCAGACAACTGCTTGCTTGCAACAAATGCTTCTCAAATTTGGGCTTGAACCTTGTAAAAATGCTAATGAGTCAGCTGAACACAGTCATTGATCCTTGTAATGCTCCGATCAGGAGGAAATAAATCGATTTATTCAAAGAATGCAAATGATGAGGAAAATTCATTCAATAGACTGAAGGTATCGCCAAATGGATTTAAAAGTCGTAATTTAAGCACAATGCATACAGGTGTCGATCAAAGTCGGACTTTGGTAGGAAAGAATAGTAAACTTTTGAAGAATGCAACTATTGATATCAGAGTGAATGGGAACAACAACCTGAATTCTTCAATCCAGCTATCGGAAAACCATGGTGAAACCACTACAAATTCACAGCTAATGGGTGGATTCGGAGAGACACTGAACTACAACTTGAACACCAGCTGCTTGCTACCAAAGAAGGGCAAGAAACGGAGACTTCTTGGGCATCCATTTAAAAGCTTTAAGGTTAAGAGAAAGTACGATCTGTTTATTATCATATTCATTTCGGTTATTATTAAATTTTCTGGTTAAAACTTCAAAGACTTTTCCGCCACTTCAACTTTACTTGTAGGTCTACTCTTACCAAGAAGCAGATCATAAAATAAGTCGATTTCACTGATGAAAATGGGCTTTTTAAAGAAATTCAGGGAGAAAATCAGTGAGGAAGAGAAGACCCTCGACCTCCAGAAAATGATTAATCCAACTAAAGAAAAATCTCTACCAAGTTTGAACCCTATAGTTACTGAAAAATCAAAGCTAGAACCGATTTCAAAAGGAAAGAAGGTAATTTTATAATTTAAAACTTATTGTAGGCAAGCGGATCTGATCGGAATAGCGGCAAAGGCCATGACATCTCTACATCCTTAAGACAGTCCAATGACCTTAGCCTTAATAGCAGTTTGAAGTAAGTCATGATTTGTAGAATGAGAATAGTTCTCTTCTTAACAAAATCTCCATTCGCTTATAAATATAATAAAACGTACTAAACTTTCACTTTGTGGTGGAGACCTTCTCAGAATGAGCATTAAGTAATCTAATTTGTTCTACAGAAAGAAGCACAAGAAGGCAAATTTGAAGGTCCTTGCTAGGAAAACTAAGAGTAAGAATATATACACACATGGGCTTCCTATTCTGGCACCCTGAGGGCGTCTAAATTTCATCAGAATTTCAAGAGCGATCTCCTTTATGTCTCTAACCAGCTCCTATAGATGATGTAAACAGGTCGCATACAGGCAGCACAGGAAAGTCTACGAAGGTATTTAAGATTGATGATTAAGCAAGCACTGGCTTATTTGGGGTTAATATAAATGAGATTTACGTTATAATACAAATTTTTAATATCATTCTTTTGGAAAGTTTGAAGTTTGTGCTTATTATTGTAGAAATAGTCTTAAAAACTGAAGCTTATCTCTGGTTATGATTCTTCAGAACTCGAGCAATATGTCATAGGATTGTAAATCACTGCTGTTTAAAATTTTGCGTTTCTTCGAATTTACTGAAGAAACTTAGATGGAGTGTAAAATCTAATGTTCAAAGTTATCAATTTCTTAGCTCGAGATTGTCCCAGGAAGTTTTTTAGAAGCTCTCGGTTTGGGCTTGCCATTGGGTCTAAATTTCAATGGAATATGCAATAAATATTTCAAAATGATGCAGTTAAACATATCATTTTTCAATTTTACTAAATTTTTAAGGGGTTTTGGGGTTTTGGGGTTTTGGGG